TGTCCATGATTGATGCCAATCTTGGTAGGCTCTGTGGATGGTGCAGTTTGCTGGATGGCGGGCTGCTCCTCCGTCTTCTCTGCGATGGCTGCGAACGTCTTGGATTTTCCTTTGTCATGTCCGCCCTTTCCTTTGCCATTCTCATAGGATGGATAACCCTTGTTTCCATCATAGGGATATTGGAATTTCGATTTTCCTTTCTTTCCCTTCTTTCCTTTGCCTTTTCCCCAATATGCCTGGTCGTAGGGATCATAGTTTTCATCGGCCATATTGGCCTTCCCGCCAGAACCGCTTTTTCTGAAGGGTTTAAAGCCACCTCGTTGGTGACTGCCCTTTTTGTTTCCTGATTTTCCTTTTCTCTTCTTGAATCTGAAATTTCGCCCTGACACTTTTCTTGCTATGAACGCATCATTCTCCTCGAGGACCCAGAATGTCTCTTCATCGTTGTTCGACATGAATCTTTCAAGTCCTTCTTCATCCTCAACCCAAAAGCCTTCTTCTCCTTCGTATTCACCTTGTTCGATGATGAAGAATGTATTGATTCGGTTGCCTCCCTGAGGTCGGATGGATGGATCTTGAATGGATGTCCGGGTCGTGATGAAGAGTTCATGATAATGCGTCTTCAGCATCTCATAGGAGTAGTTCTCTAGTGAAATGTTTCTCAGTGACATCGGACTGGTCAGTCTTTCTCTCTGCTGATCTGACAATTCACTCTGAATAATGAAAAACTGTGCAATGAGATTATCCCCCGAGTGCCCTTGGAACCTGAACTGTCCCGGCCACCTCCACTGTCCCGGCCACTCCAAGAGGCTTGCTGCTTCCTCCACTCCAGGGCCCAAGTCAATGCACGTGAACATGTTTGCAAACCAAGTCTTTAAAGAGTCAAAGTACCTCCTAGTGGACACGCTCCTCAAAGGAGCCAAGAGTCACAACATCCAACATGTTGATGCTGGCACTCTGCTGCTCATGTTTGGCCCTTGCATTCTCAAAAAGAAACTTCAACTCAAAATGAATTCAGCTCAGCATATCATAGTTTCTCCTCAGAGGAGAGTTGTCACTGCTCACAAAAGGGAGACCTTCAAAGGGAAACCTTATTTGTCCTCTAGGAGCCAGCTCGATCATCGCATTGTCCAACATCACCTGGCCAAGAGAAAGGGCTGCGCTACAAACCTACATGCCTAAAGACCAAACAAATTCTATTGGGGCAGGCAAACAACAAATAGCGCGACACCTTTGCCCTACGATGATTCACCAGTCTGCGGCAATGGTGAAACCTTGTGAGATCTAGTTGACATCTTGGACTGCTAGCTGCTCCTGCAGCCAGATCTTTACACTAGGTTGCCCCATCAGCTAATTCGTACAAGTGCTCCCTACTAAACTGTTTCCCACCAAACTCACAGATCTGCTTGCCGCCCACAGCTCTTCTCAAGGCTGCCTTGCCTGTCTTATAGTACATTTTGCTGTAACTGCAGGCAGGCTGGGTGCTAGGTTCTGCTGCAGCTGGTCTCTTCAAAGCCTGGAGTGGCTGGCTGGCAGCTGGATTCTTCATGGCGGACGGCTTCCTCCCTGTTCTTTCGTTCCCCTCAACATCGGGAGAAGCAAAAGATTTCAATTACATGTTTGGCATCCCAGTAACTTGCGGCAATTCTTCTCCAAACTGCGCCAAGCGAAAGCTCATGGTGGCCACTTGCAAGCTCTGCTTAGCTGAGCCAAAACGAACATATGCCTTGTGAGCAGGGTTGAACAACATAATCTGGGACCCTGAAGAACTCCCAGGATTCGAAGGCATTGGCGCAGACTCTTCTTTGTCTTGGTCAGAGTCAGTGATGGTGACGATCGGTGTATCCTCAATACGTTTTCCATTTGCTTTCTTGCCAAGAACAGCGGCATAAAGTGCCTCCACTGAGTCAGTTTTCAAGTCCATGGAAGCCCTGTCTGCTTGAGGATGCTGCTCTGCAGAAGATTGTGTTGCCTTCTTACGCATGGAGTCTGCCAATTGAGCAGGGCCTCTGGCGGTTGTCAATGGCTTGGACTCAGTTTTGACCCAGAGGTCACTTGCAACCTCTTGCAAAAGCACAAGGCAGATGCTTCTGCAAGCCTCTGAGCAAACATCTTGGCTTCTTCTGCTGAGACATCCCAATGTGTGCTTGCAGAGCACCAGCTTGGATCCAGCCCATGGTTGGCCTCGAAGTGCGAGCAGCACCATTTCTATAATGAAGTCCTGATAGGCACTGACTATTTGTTCAGTCTGGGTGGTACTCCACCTCCTGTCTTCCAAGGCTCGAGGAAAGTGAATTCTCAACACCTTCACGAGCTCTTCTGGTGTGCAGCACCAGCTTGCAAGACATGCCGGCAAGACCTGATGATCATGATGCTGCCACTGCCCAAGACAAGTAGCTGGTTTCAAATGATGTTGGGAAACCCAACTTTCTTCCAGCCTAGCCAACGAAAAGCTCCTCTAAAGGAGCCTGACTTTCTAAGGAAGCAATATTGCTTAAATAAGAGGTATGCAAATTGCTTCAATAAGCTGAGTATAACAGCATATTTTGGCAATATTAATGTCCAAAAACATTGTTTATTTAAGGGGTCTGGGTCCGCTCACGCGCACTTGCTCGGCACGGTATGCATGCCAGCCACATGGTAAGCACGGTATCCATGCCAGCCAAGTGGTAAGCACACCCGTTCACGCGCAGCCGCTCAGCACGGGTATCCATGCTTATGAAAGAAAGCGTCCAGGTTTAATCGGCTTTCTGGATACCTTGCCCAAACTCAAGCGGGCAAGCGTATGAAGCTTTCCATGAAGCAGGTAATGGGCATTTCGCTGCTGCAATGGCAACCGCTCTTTTCCTCAGATAAAGCCACAGATCTTGAGGGTGCGAGCAAAAAGCGTGCTTTGCGCTGGGCATTGGGGAGCTATGTTCTCAGGGGCGTCCCAAAGTGCAGTTCAGACAAGGTTTCACCATGCACAGTTCGTACTTCGTTTAACTCTTGAACAATACTTTTCCGAGACATATACATATATATATATATATATTGTGACGAATGCCCTTCTGCATCAACACCCCCCTCGATATGCGGGACAGAGTGCGGGACAAAGTGCGGCACAAAGTGCTGGACAAAGTGCGGGACAAACTGGGCAAACAAGTTGTCCGGGGGGTTGTCCGGAGGGTTGTCCGGAGGCTTGTCCGCGCATTTTGCTTAGATTTATGCTGCAAACCCCCCTCCCGCGAGAATACTTCTGTCCGAGTGATTCCCGAGTGGTTTTGAGCAGGTTCCGAGCGGTTTCCGAGTGGTTTCTGAGCGGTTTCCGAGTGGTTTCCTGTTCCAATCCTGTTCGAAGACTTGCCGGGGTTTTGTCTCGAGTTTTTGGGCCCTCAAAGCTGTGCGGAGGGTTGTCCGGGGGTGTGTCTGGCGGTTTGTCCCGGGCTTTTGCGCCCGAGCAGCTTGTTCAGGGGTTTGTCCCGGGCTTTTGGACCTCAAAGCTGTCCGGAGTGTTCGGGGAGTTGTCCCGCCGATTTTGTGCCCTCAAAGCTGTCCGGAGGGTTGTGTAGATGTTTGTCTGGGGGGTTGTCCAGGGTTTCAAGCCCGTTTGGACCCAAAATATGAAAACATGTGTTTATGCAGAACCGCCTGTGTCAACACATCTTTATATATATAAATATAAATATATATATATATATATTGGTGTGTGCAATTTTAAGGTGCGCAAGGTTTAGTGAAGGATGGAAGTTCGACCTGTGCGAATCATACCACGAATCATACCTCCGAACCATACCCCGAATCATACCCCCTTCAATACCACTACAGTTACTACAATGACTATTACTACTACTATCACTACTGCTACTACTACTCCTGCTACTAATACTACTACTACTGCTGCTACTACTTACTACTACTACTACTGCTACTACTACTACTGCTGCTGCTGCTGCTACTTATTACTACTACTACTACTACCACTACTACTACTACTACTACCACTACTGAGTAGTAGTAGTAGTAGTAGTAGTAGTAGTAGTAGTAGTAGTAGTAGGAGTAGTAGTAAGCAGTAGCAGCAGCAGCAGCAGCAGTAGTAGTAGTAGCAGGAGGAGTGGTAGCAGTAGTAGTAGTAGTAGTGATAGTAGTAGTAGTAGTAGTAGTAGTAGTACTACTACTACTACTACTACTACTACTACTACTACTACTACTACTACTACTTCTTACCACTGCTACCACGGCTACTACTTCTACGGCGCACAAACCTTGCCTCCGAACCATACCCCGAATCATACCCCGAATCATGCCCGACTTTCGTTTGCGCACCCGGCCCTGTGACCAAGCGTGCGAAATTCGCCAACGCAAGATTGTCAGCGCATCTAATGTAGCAGAAGTTTCAGTTCCTGCGAACCATACCCCGAATCATACCCTCGAACCATACCTCGAATCATACCCGCGAATCATACCCCATCTGTTTTGGCGCAGACCCATGTATACATATATATATATATGTATATATATATATATTTCTGTCGTTCTAAAGGCTCTTGTAAGGAGTTTAGTGTCGGTGGCCATCGGTGTTGGTTGAGGTACCTCCGCGAAAGGATTGCGCAACTGAATCTTGTAAATCAACGACATGTGAAAGCAGTGTGTCTTTTCTGTTGAGCCTTTCGCAGCTTGCTAGGTCGGTGATACAGCCTGGTGAGGCTACAGTTTGATACCCTGCTTCGCTGGTTAGTGCTCCAAGCGTGTGTGTGTGTGTGCGCGCGCGTAGCCGGTTTCTCTGCGATCTGAAATGTGGATGGTTTTTCGCGAAAAGTTCCGCGAAAGCAGGCTTTGAGTGCAAGAGGAGGTACTTTCTGAGCGGCGCACTAGTCAGGCACTTCTCACAAATTCCTGGACATGCATTGCAAGACATGTTCATTTTTTGTGGTGATTTCCCAGATCTTCTCAAGTTCAACAGTTGGTGGGGGCTCCCTTTCCACGATTCTACCTCAAAGTGATCAGGATTTCCATCGTAGGTGATGAACGGGACGCTGAGTCAGTCTGGCGGACAGATGCTTTTTCGCAACTGCGCTGCTGTGGAATCAGGAGGCAGGGAAGCTGCCGTGCAGCGGAATGGCCACGAGGACTCTAATCACCCCGTAAATTGATTGGCGCTTGGAGCTTATCTACACTTGTAGTAGGCTTGACATATTATGTTGGGCCATTGTTTGGTTTCAGGTGCGGGTCACCCTACTGCGCAGACAAAAATGCCAGTCTGAAACCAAGGGTTGATTTGCAATGAAATGTGCGGCGTCGAGGGGTCATGTTGTTCAATGGACACAAGAAGGACAAACGTATTTCCGGGCTTCCCTCCAAAAAGGCCAAGCCCACCATGTGTTTCCTCCAGTTTTTGTGGCTGAAGCTGGCGTGATTCCACCACTTCTCTACCTCCACCCTCCAGCCCAGCTTGTCACTTCCCGACAAGCCAGGTCTTTACAGCGTCCGAAAGATACGTGATGTCAGGTACTTGGTGCTAAGCTATTGCAGTTCTTGACCCTTGAAGCCAGGGTGGCTGCATGTCCAATCAGCACCACCACCCTGCGTGGGTGTTTGCCAGATCACTAGCACCCTTGTTGCCACCCAACGTTCTCTTCTTGGACACGCTGTTTCAATCGTAGTTCTGGTACAAAACTGTCGCTTGGTTGGCCTTGCGCCAGCCAATATCACTTCAAATCCACCGCAAGGTTTCCATTAAGAGGAGGATTTTGCTGGAGTCCTGGCTGCTGACTCTCAACGTGTGTTGTTTGCATGACTCTTGTGCCTGACAGCACAGCTGTGTGCCGGCCCGTAGGGGCGATCTACAGTCAGGGAGCTGTGATGCAGAAGGTGGGCAGATGCGGCGGTCAGCGTTTGTCTCCGAAGCGTTGAAAGGACTTCATGCGCCATAGTCAAGAGACTCTGTTTAGTCGGCACATTTTCCCCTTCTTCCTTTCTCTCGTGTCTCCTCCCCCAACCCCCTCTCTCCCTCCCTCTGTTCCCCATCCTCCCCCTCTCTCTCTCTCTCTCTCTCTCTGTCTCTCTCTCTCTCTCTCTCTCTCTCTCTCTCTCTCTCTCTCTCTCTCTCTCTCTCTCTTCTCTCTTCTCTCTTCTCTCTTCTCTCTTCTCTCTTCTCTCTTCTCTTTTCTCTCTTCTCTCTTGTCTCTCTTCTCTCTTCTCTCTTCTCTCTTCTCTCTTCTCTCTTCTCTCTTCTCTTTTCTCTCTTCTCTCTTCTCTCTTCTCTCTTCTCTCTTCTCTCTTCTCTCTTCTCTCCCTCTCCCTCTCCCTTTCCCTCTCTCTCTTTTTCTCCCGCGTTAAAATCCGAGTAACAATTACTATGTTGTTATCAACATAAACACATGTAGTCTGCTGCAGCCTTTTGTTTCGGGCTGAGGCTCAAGGCCTGCGGTAGTATACATACATGCAACACAAATGCAAGTGGTGAAGCATATAGTTTGACACGGCCCCTCAGTTAAAAGATCTTTCTGTACTATCTTTCAACTGAAGTTGAAAGCAAAGGTGCCAGTAGTGATGAAAACTATTGTTGTTCATCCATGCTACTGTAGTGAAAAGGTGTAGTCGTCAGTAGCTCACGCTGTTCAGGTTTCAGTCCAGAATGTAGTCGGACTGAACGGAGTTGGTGAGGAAGCGCCTGTAGTTGTAGCCAAGCCCGTAGCTCAGGCATGTAGTCCCCAATGTTGAAGCCGGTAGTTGCGTACCTGCTCCAGTCGGTGGTTCAAAGAAGCGAAGTAATTGATCACAAACGTGCACCACGTAGTCGATTGTCGTCGACCTCTGGTGCTGCTACCTGGTGTTGGTGGTGGCGGAGGTAGTTGTGAAGTTGCAGTCTCTGTTGCGCGGTGAGGTCTGTAATTGTGAGTAGTGTGAATCCATAGTAGTGGATGCTTTTGCAAAGGATTGTAGTGATTGCCTTGTGTTGAAAGTCATGTAGTTGTTCGTGGTTGTTGAGGTAGTGAAGTAGGTAGGAAGCGGGGCATCCTCAAATCACCTGGGATGCACCGTAGTGGTCGTGTGAAGTCAAGTTGTCCAAGTGGTGTCGATTGTTGAAGTGAAAGTAGTTGGTACTCTTCAAGCGTGAATGCAGTGAAGAGTTCAACATAGTGAGTGTTGTTGTGGAGAAGTGGTGTCTGCGTTGTCTGGTACTCGGTGATGTGTAGTTGTTCCCTGATGGCTGATGGGTGGTAGTAAGGCGTGGTGTTGGGTGTAGTGTGGTTGAAGTGGTCGTTGTTCTCGTCGTAGTGAGGCGGTGGAAGTGACCCTTGGTCACCCGCGAGTCTGTAGTCTCCACTGCACGTGCAGTCAAAACTCGATCGGGTGTAGTGACGCCATGGGGGCATCAGCAGCGGCCATGGCTGTAGTGGGCGCAAAAAAAGTAGTGAAACGGGGCAAAAGTATGGGCCTATGTATGTGGATTCAGGTTCCAACCCAGTGCATGAGTGTACCTTGTACATGCTCCGCCGCTACAGACTTCAAGAGCACTATCAGCAGTGTGAAAAGTAGTCAACGGTTTGCTGCTTGCCTAGGTATTACCTTAGGTGGCCTAGGCTTGATAAAACAGGTTATCAGCCGTAAAGGCTTGCACAAAGATCGCCATGGCATCCGGAGATATGCCTGCCATTTACAATATATCTGGAGATGTTGGTGACGGTAGTGAAGGTGCAGTTGCACCCAATGGTCCTGTCGACCCTCGCGATCCTCGAAACGTATTCGGATTCGCGACAAACTACCAAGCCACCCAGAACATTATGCATGTGCATAACGACACGGGTGACGCTGTTAGGGAAGAGGCCAACACGTTACATCGCGTTGCTATGGATGCTGCAAGGGCGGAATATAGCGCTCATTTGGCAGAAACTGTGCATCGCCTGGATGAGGAGAACAACCGCCGGACCCTTGAGCTGCACGAGCAGTTCGCAGAGTCCCGCGCTTTCTTCAGCGCCCAGGTTAGCCAGATGCGGGGAGCAATTTCTGCCGAAGTGAACGAAGCTGTGTCGCAAAGAACGGCACAGTATAGCGCTTTCGCACAAAGCTTACATGCTGAGACTGTTGTGATGGAGAACTCGGAGAAGGCGGTCGGTGAGCAGAGAGACAGTATTTTGGCGGAGAACCACGCCATGCAGGACACGATCAACGGGCTGAACGACACCGTTGAGCGTCTGAGGAACGATCTCGAAAAGGCGCAGCGTGAAATGGTGCGCGGAGATCCTCAGCCTGCGTCAAGTGTACAGAACGTCAGTTCGGAGTCGTTTTTGGATAAGAGGGGCAGTATCTTTGATGATCCGCGTCTTTTTCCAACGCAGAATGCACAAACTTCTGGAACTATGCCACAGATTATTCCACAGCAGAGTTGGACTGATCCTATTTCTGGTGCAATGCAGTTTGATATCAAAGATCATGCGAGACGGTCTTCGGAGCAAGAGAACAGCCGAAGTCAGCAAAATCAGCCGAACATTGATCGGTTGACTGGTCCCGAGACCACCGAGGCGGAGTTCCGTGCGGCCCTCCTCGGCTTCGTCCGGAATCAGCATGATCGGCCAAAAGCAAAGGAAGCCGATTCGCTGAGGCTGAGTGAGTTTCCCACTCCTGAGACCTATAGAGCCTGGAAAACGGCTACTCGCGAAGAGATTCGGGCTGCTTCAGATCGGCCTGATGCTGCATTCACCTGGGTTAACAAGGTGTACGTCAACCGGGAGGACAAGAAGAATCTCATGTTAGAGCTTGGAGATCCAGAGCAGTTTGAAACGTTGGATACAAAGCTTCTTGCGGCCTTATCGCGGATTGCTAGGGGCGACCTTAGTCGGCAGATCCTCACCTACAAGGAGCAACAAGCTGCTTTGGACAAAGTTGTCCGTGGACGTCAAGTTCTTCTCATGTTTGAGCAGTATTTCAGAACAAATGAGGAGGCTGGAGCGTTGTATTCCACTGAAGATTTGTTGAAGGTGGTGCTTCATGGCAATGATTTGATGACCTTTATTCAGAATTGGGATTCCGTCATTGCTGGCATGAAGATCGTTCCGGAGCAGCACGTCTTGAAGGACATTTTCTTGCGACAGATTCGTGGATGTCACAAGATCAAGTATGACCTCGATACATACGAGCGTGCAAAAGATGGGTCGTATGACAAGAGCTACGAGTTTCTTGTTCAAGCCGTTCGTGATGTTTTGACTCGGGAGCGATTGCAGTCAAATCGTGATCGTGTTGCTCGAGCTCACAATCAGAAGGTCGGTGCTCCAGCTCCCAATGCAAATCCTGGGCGTGCAAGAGATCCTTCAGCGGTCAGGTATTGCTATGATTTTCAGAAAGGCAAGTGCACTCGGGATAATTGCATTTACAAGCATGAGAAAGACCCAAGACCCCCAAGCCAAAATCCGAAAGGAAAAGGTCGGGGGCGCTCTGACAGCCAAGCGAGAGACAGGGATCGGTCGGCATCGAGAAAGAGAGCGGAGCTGAAGAAGATCCCCTGCAGGTTTTTCAAAGGCGGTCAGGGGAAATGCACTCGTGGAGACAACTGTGCGTTTTCGCATGAGACTCGGTCTGCTGCACCAGCAACAGATAAGCCGAGCCCAAAGAAAGGAGCCAGCAGAGGTAGGTCTCCCACCCCAAAGGGAAAAGGGAGGAAGCGATCCCAGAGCAAAAAGGGCGAGTCCTCAGCCGCTGTGTGTCTGAGGGTGAAAGAGACCAATGCATGCCTCGCAGCATGCCGCCCAAAGCAAGATTTCTGGGAAGTTGACTCGGTGAACGAGATGGTCATTCGACACCATGTGATGCCTCGAAAAGCGCTTTATGATCCGAAGAGTGCAAAAGACCTTCCGATTTCGCTGGAACGTTTATTGGATCAGCGCATCACCAAAGCCAACATCGATGGCAAAGAGCAAGTATTTGGTGATTTCTGGGCGGATCCTGATGAAGGTTTGGAGCAATACTGGACTGGGCAAACAATTTTCATTTGCAGTACAGATGTTTCCAATACCCGCAGATGCGTCAAATTCGCAGACAATGTCGAGGTCGTCGAGATCGAGGCCAACGGGCTATGCCTATCATGTGCTCCAAAGCCGAATGACCCCGAGGTTGTGTGGTATGATGGTTGTGCGCCTGGCTCAAATCCCAAGGATCTGATCGATGCTAAAGACAAAGCTTTGATTCTGGAAGGGGTTGTTGACTTGATGCATGCAAACTACAACGCGCCTTGTGGGTTCTATTGCGAATACTATGATGACAATGACCCAATTTATTGCGGTTTATATTGTCCTGGCTGTTGGATTGATGATGATGAAACGAACCTTGACGATGTGCCGGAGTACATTGCTACGCCAGCACCAGCAGGGCTTCGTCAGTGGATTGTCGACACAGGTAGTGAACAAGATCTGGTTGACTCTGAGCGTGCAGTTACACTTCAAAAGAAGATAAATCCTGCATTGACTCCAATCAATCTTTCAACAGCAAATGGATCAATTTGTGCAGACAAGATTGCGGACTTCTCCATTGATCAGTTGAACGAGGTCGTCACTCCGTATGTTTTGCCGAGCACACCAGCTGTACTTTCTGTTGGTCAAAGATGTTTGGAAAAGGGGTACGATTTCGTATGGAGAAAGAACAGTGCTCCGTACTTTGTTCGACCTGACGGGAAAGCGGTAATATTGAAGCTCGATGGGCGAGTTCCTTATGTTGACGATCAGTGCGAGGTCATAGCTTCTGAATCAGCTATGCCTGTTGCTCTTGCTGCATCCGATCAGAAGATCAGGGGCGTTGAAGTGCCTTCATCTTCAAGCGGAGGGCAACCTCCGCCGGATGCTGCATCGTTTCCATTGCGCCCTGATGAAGCTGAACCG